TGGATTGAATAATGAGTATGACCAGGGCTCTTGGAATGGACCCCTGAGTTACTTCTGTGGTAGCAAACTGGTTCTGGGTCTCAGTATAGGACACATGCTTAAAGGCTGTATTGATTAGACATTGACTTGAGTTGCCTTAAATGAGAAAAAGAGTTTATTGGGTCACCTACCCCAAAAAGTCTAATGGAAAAACCTGGCTTCAGGATCAACTTGATTTAGGACTCACATTTCAATAGGATCCATCTTTTAATTCTGCTCTCTCTGGGTTGGCTGTTCTTAGGCTCCAAATAGTGGTTCCTGTAATTTCCTGTAATTTCAAGTTCATATTATCACAACCCTCTGCCCAGTGACAAAGTGAGCCCACTCTGAGTAACACAAAGGTCCTGGAGTTGAATCTTAATGACTCTTTTTGAGCTGGCTTGTTTCGTGTGTGCATTGCTGAACTATCCCTGTGGCCTGTAGGATGAAATGGCATTGGTTGGCTTAATCTAGGCTCCTATAATCTACCCCATTAAGCTATAGTTGGAGTCAGCTTCCCATAAAGGATGCGAACTTTTCCACGTGATCTTTTGTGTTATGACGTCTGTGTACCATCCTACCCAGGAGAGAGAGGGTTACATTAACAGGTCATCTAACTGAGAAGTTTTGTTTGCTTTTACCAAAGAGGAGCAAATAGACATTCTTTCCTTTTGTTCCTTTGGTATAACTTTAATTGAAGAGTTATATAATACATAGCAAGCATCTAGTACTGTGCTAAATGCTGCAGATACAAAAGCCCCTGACCTCAAAATGTAACAGGCTTGTGGTAAGATAAAGTTTATTCTGTGCCCTAGGAACAAATAAGTTCATTTGGAATAAGAGACTATACTACTCACACAAAAGAGTCAGTACCAAATACAGTAAATGTGCTGCCCTCTCCTAGGAGATTTGCATTTGAGGAGAGGAAATATCTCTGGACTAGGAACTGAGACCTAGATTCTTGTCCCATTATTGCCATCTGCCATCACCAATTAACTATGAACTTGAATTCGGAAATTTTATGGCCAGTGTTTCTCAAGTCAGCAGTTCATCTCCATTAATTTCACCTCAAGTTCTTTCTGGGTCCTAGCCCTGACTCACTGAACCAGATCATCTGGAGCTGTGATCTCTGTAAATTGTTTAATCTCTATGAACCTCATTTTCCTCATCAGTAAAAAAGAGATCATATTTACCTTATAGCATTGGTTTAAGGATTGAATGTGATGATGGATAGGAAAGCACATGGCATGTAGCAAGAGCTCAGCAATTGCCCTCTTTAACATTCCCTCAGAGTGTAAAGCCCGTGTAGTCCAGAGAAGTTGAAGGATTCCTAGAGGAAGGATAGCAAAAGCCCCCCTCCTCCAGAAATGTGTGATTGTTACATAACCCCACTGGACACTTGTAATGTTTGCTGTTCATTGTTAGGGACATAAAACTGGCCTAGTATACTTCATGCTGGAATATATAGGGTGGAATTGTGCATCATATACTCAGAAGTCAGATCACATTCTCCTGTGTCTTTGTGATTATTTGAGCTGGAACTCAAACCACATCACCACCTGGAACTTTCACTAAGAGAAGTGTGAGTGTGTGTTTGTGTGTCTGTGTATGTCATTGGTGAATTTTTTTTAACAAAGCAGAGTTTTTTGAAGATGCAAGTATTATGCTCTTAATATACCTAATAGGTTCAATTTATTTATATTATCCAATAACCTGAGTTAGACTCAGATCAACTATAATCCTCACTTGACAGGATTCTCCTGGTTTGTTGGCAGTTTTTGGCTTTACCCTCATCAGAAAGAGGGAAGTTAAGGGGACACACCCATTTCTAGGAGTTACGCAAAACCCTCTTCCAAGAAATGTCTTGCCCCTTCTATAACTTCAGTCACAAGGCATGTGAGATTTGATATCAGGAAAGATGATTTGAGACTCTGAGAAGTCTTTACTCATTCAAAGAAGAGTTTTGTTATCTTTGGTATATTACCTAAGGCAAGGCAGAATATTCTGGAGTTTTAGAAATATTTTCAACTGTCAAAGGGGTTCTGGTTAATAGTTGGTTATTCAGAAGAACACATCCCTCTGTTCCAAGAATCTGAATAATCTGATTAAATGAGGTGTTACCATATATTTTCTTGCTTGAGAATACGTAAGTCTCTCAAGGTTGGAAAAGATCTTAGTCTCTTATCTATCTATTGGTCCATGCTTTCAGCCCTCTATAGTCTGCCTTTTCTTAGCATGCCCCTGCTGGCACTCACTTAACTTTAGTATGTTAAGCCGCCCAAAATAAATCAAATTGGTCTTCACTGTGTCATAACATTATGATCATGACTCCAGGCAAATCTCACTGAATCCTAGCACGATGAAATGTCTAGTCCCTCATCACTACCAGGATGGAACATGACATTCCTAGTGTGATCTGGCCATTGCAAAGCTAAATTGAGGCCCACCTAAGTTTTCTGGGGTGCCAAGAGCAATAAGAGGAAGTCATGGCCTTGCTCTACATGTTTGAAGACCTTGGGATCTGATCCAAAAAACAGAGAAGATAGGTTCATGTGACATGTACTCTCTGCTCAACAGCTAGGAGTGATGCAACTTCCAGATCATATGTACTCACTTTTTGTCTGTGGTCTGGATTGTTGTGAAATGGTTTGTTTTCTGACTGGATTTGGGTACAAAAGGAAAACAGTCACTTCTATTTCATCAGAGAAGGTGGTGGCATACCCTTGCTCCTGGACACAAATTCTAGCTTTGTTTCAACTTTCTTGACAGTCAGCCCTGTGCCATACACTTCTTTATGCCCCATTGTTAAATAAAGCGACTTACTAATACATTGTCTTTTCCTCTCTGCCTCCATTATTATTATCGTAATTTAGATTGGCATCTCCTCTCACTATTACAGACTATTGCAACAGCTTCCTAAATAGTTTTCCTTTCTCTGGTTCATCTTCCTCACTCTGCCAGATGAGAACACAGTACCAGTTGACATTTTTCTGCTAATCTGTACTCTTCAGTTGCTCCCCATTACCAACAAAGGAAAGATGAAACTTCTTACAGTAGCATTCAAGGTTTTCCAGGACCTCCAAACTCTTCCCTTCTTCCTTGTCAATATTCAAAAGAGACTGTTCCACATTCTCTGAACCTGTCTTATCTTTTCCTGTGCCCAGGTGTTGGTCATACTGTATGTGCTATAAAAAATGCCCTTTTCTCCTTCCTTTCCAAAACCATCTATCAAACCCTACCTTCCTCACTATTCATGTTTATTCCTTTCCACTACCACCACCGAAAGTTTGATTCTCCACTTCAGTGGTCTGATAGTATATTCTATCTCTTTTTATGGTACTTATAAAAATCTGCTTATTTTAGGCATATGTATTAACATCTTCTTTCAACTTTGTAAATTTATAAGTTACTTTGAAGGAGTATTTGGTTCTTGCCTCTTTTCTTTATCCCCCAAAGCATTCAGCAGAATTCATGCGTATTTTTACTCAATACCATAGAAGGAGCTTGTTGATTTGTCATGAAAAAGCACCCTAGATCCCAAATATTTCCAACTTTTTTTTTTTTTTTATATTACAATGCTAATCCCCTGGGTATATTTCCAACTTTTTAATTAATGTTTAAAAGTTCTACATTTTACACTGAAGTCCATGACTCATTTTGAGTTAGTTTTTCTATTTTTAGTAGAGATGGGGTCTTGCTCTTGCTCAGGCTGGTCTCGAACTTCTGACCTCAAGTGATCCTCCTGCCTCAGCCTCCCAGACTGCTAGGATCATAGGCATAAGCCACTGCACCTGGCTAATTTTTTCTTTTTTTTAGTAAAGACAGGGTCTTGCTCTTGCTCAGGCTGGTCTCAAAACACCTGACCTCAAGCAGTCCTCTCCCCTCAGCCTCCCAGAGTGCTAGGATTACAGGCATGAGCCACAGTGCCAGCCTATATAATTCCATTTTGAGTTAACTTTTATATAACAGATATAAGAACAGTCCTGAAAAAAGCCTTCTCTTTATTAGCATATTCAGGACTCACATTTCCATATTCTCCTTGTCTTATGTGTCAGTAATCCAACAGTAATTTTTCATTTCTATATCATGGGACACCTTTCAGCTGGAGCTCTCAGACCCCCTTATAAATATTTATTATATGGTCACTGAATTATCAGAATAAAGAGAACAAGATGCTAAAGAAGTCACATCACAGAGAAGCCACTGCATACCTTTATCTTATTCTTTTTTTTTCTGTAATCCTCTTGCTGTCCTCCTTTTCTACTTCCTACTGTGAAAGCTCACTTACATTTTAAAATTGCATTTATTAGTTTAAATAAATTAACATATTCATTGAATGAAAAAAAATCAACAGATCTTTACTGAATTCTCATATGTGTTAAGCACCTACCAAGCAGTTCTTGGCCACACAGGACCTTAACTTCAAGATGTTTGGAACTTAAAGGAGAGAAAGATATACAAGCAATTGAAATGCCAAAGTGGGGAAAACTCTGGGGAAATCTTTTTTTTCCCTTTTTTTTTGAGACAGAATCTCACTCTGTTGCCCTAGCTAAAGTGCCTCAGCCTAGCTCACAGCATCCTCAAACTCCTGGGCTCAAGCAATCCTGTGTCAGCCTCCCGAATAGCTGGGACTACAGGCATGTGCCACCATGCCCAGCTAATAATTTTTTTCTATATATTTTTAGTTGGCCAATTAATTTCTTTCTATTTTTAGTAGAAACGGGGTCTTGCTCTTGCTCAGGCAGGTTTACTCCTGACCTTGAGTGATCCACCCGCCTCGGCCTCCCAAAGTGCTAGGGTTAAAGGCGTGAGCCACCACACCCAGCCAACTCTGGGAAAATCTGAAAGGAAGACAGGCCACATGCAGCCTGCAGGTCCAACAGTCCCCTTTCTTAACCTATGATATCTAGAGACCTATTAAAAAGTTTTAAATAACTAATCATTTTGTCTCCCTCTTCTTACTCCTTATTGGTGCGATTTAGGCCTGGAAGAAACGCTGGTTTATCCTGCGGAGTGGCCGGATGAGTGGTGACCCAGATGTTCTGGAATACTACAAGAATGATCACTCCAAGAAGCCCCTGCGGATCATCAACCTTAACTTCTGTGAGCAGGTGGATGCAGGCCTGACCTTTAACAAGAAGGAGCTACAGGATAGTTTTGTGTTTGACATCAAGACCAGTGAGCGCACCTTTTACCTGGTGGCTGAGACAGAGGAGGACATGAACAAGTGGGTCCAGAGCATCTGCCAGATCTGTGGCTTCAATCAGGCAGAGGAGAGCACAGGTAGGAGAACAAAAAGGCCTTTCTCAGAGGGGCTAAAACGAGGCCCTGAGATCCTTGACAAGGAGAGCAGCCCCAGCTAAGCCTTCTCTTTTGGCAGAGGAGGGATAGACAAAGGATAAGAGTGTGAAGAGGTCGGCCAAATACTAGAGGTACACCTGACTCTAATTATGCTCAAACAGGAAACCAAAGAATATTGGGGTTGTGATGAAGATAAAGGTATTTCTTCAGGCACCTTGACAGCATGGGCATTCCTTAGCTCCTCACCTAACCCCATTTCCTTAGCTCTCTGGCACCCTGGCCCTGTTACCTGTCAGCCATTCCACAGGGAAGATCCCACCTCTGGTCCATCTCTGTCAGAACTAGCCATTGTCTTTCAGACCACCTGGCACAGTTACACTTGACTCTTTTTGTTTGTGGTGCTTTGCGATTATTACTGATACATAATCCAGTGCTCATTTATACCCACTTGGGAGGGGACAGGTGAAAGGAAGAAATATTGATTTATGTTTGGGTTTTGATAACCTTCACAAAAGAGTAGCTCAACTTTTTGGAATGAGTTTTAAGTTGCAGAAATGTTCGTAAACATTGGTTTGGGCTCATCCCTAACTCTCCGGGATGGTGGAGGAGTGGGGTTTTTCTGAGTTAGGCAGATAGTCTAAATCAGTAATTCTCAAGCCTAGCTAAACATCAGAATTAAGGAGAATTTTTAAAATATTGATGCTGAGAACCCATGCCAGATCAATTAAGAATCTCTGAGTAGTAGATGTAGCCATTAGTGTTTTTTAAAAGCTTCTTTCTGAGTAGCAAGGGTACAGGGCCCAGCAACCATTTTCTGTAAATATTTTGGCTTTGAAGACCACATATATAGTCTCTGTTTCATATTCCTGTCTTTTAAATTTTTTTACAACTGTTGAAAAATGTAAAAACCATTCTTGGCTCATCAGAATCATCAGATTCACCTGGGAAGTTGTTGGAAATGCGAATTCTTGAGCCCCACCCTAGACTTACTGAATCTGAAACTCTGGGAGAAAGACTCAACAATCTGTTTTTAAAAACCCTCCAGGTTACTCCGATGCAAGGTTAAGTTTGAGAACCACGAGTCTAAACTCTTGCTACTTGGGGTGAGGTTTGTGGGCCAGCAGAATCAGCCTCTGCTGGGAATTTGTTAGGCAGAATCTGGGTCTTTCACCAGACTTACAGGATCAAAATAGTTTAAAAACTTTTTGTTTTGAAATAGTTTCAGACTTACAGAAGGATTGCAAAAATAGTACAGCAAGTTCCTATATACCATTCACTGAGCTTTCACTAATGTTACATCTTACATAACTGTGGTACAATTATCAAAACTAAGCAGTTAACACTGGTTCAATGCTCTTAACTTAACCACAGACTTTGGATTTCACCTGTTTTTCACTAATGTCCTTAATTTGTTCAGGATTCGGTACAGAATACCACATTAGATTGAGTGTCATGTCTCGAGTCTCCTTCAATGTGTCTTTGTCTTTTATAACTGTGACACTTTTAAAGAGTACTGGTTAGGTATTTTGTAAAATGTTCCTCAATTTGGGTTTGTCTGGTGTTTTCTTGTGGTTAGCCTGAGGTTATCAGTTTGGGGGAAGACCACCACGAAGGTGACATGTTTTTCTCAGCATGATATGTCAGAAGGTACATGGTGTTACTATGTCTTTTTACCGGTTATGTTAACCCTGATCACTTGATTACAGTGGTATCTGCCAAGTTTCTCAACTGTAAAATTACCATCTTTGTTTTTGTAAGTAATAAATATTTGGGAGATACTTTAATGATATGCTAATACCCTTTTTCTCCTTAAACTTTTGCCCACTACAGGTGGGCAGAGGGATGGGATAAGGGCAAAGGGATGGTGGGATAAGGGCAATATACATAACCTAAACACTTGTACCCCCATAATATGCTAAATATTTTTTTAAAAAACACTTTTGCTCACTAATTTTGACATTCATCAGTTCATCATATTTGCAACAGTTATTACTGTGGTGTTCTAATGATGGTTTTCTGTTTTCCTCAGAATCTGCATTATTATGCAGATCCCCAGGTGATTTGTAGGCACATTAAAGTTTGAAAAACACAGGGCTGGATCATTGATTCCCAAATCTGGTGGGTCATCAGAATCAGCTGAAAAAAATTTTTTTCCCTATATAGGTGCTGATTCAGTAGATCTTATTTAGATTTGAGGAATCAATAGATTTTTAAAGTTCCTCCCATATAACAGGAGAAAATATTTTCAAATCTTACATCCGATAAAAGTCTAGAATCCAGAATGCATAAAGAACTCAACAACAACAAAGAGATAATCCGTTTTAAAAATGGGCAAAGGATCTGAATAGACATTTCTCCAAAGAAGACATATGAATGACCAATAAGTACGTGAAAAGATGCTCAATTCCATTAGTCATTAGGGAAATGCAAACCAAAACCACACTGATATACCACTTCATACCCATTAGAGTGGCTGCAGTCAAAAAGATGGACAATAACAGGTGTTGGCAAGGATGTGGAAAAACACATTGCTCATATGTCCCACCTTATACTTTGCTTGTGGGAATAGAAAATGATACAGCCCCTTCAGAAAACAGCATGGCAGTTTTTCAAAAAGTTAAATGTGAGAGTTACCATGTGACCTAGCCATTCTACTCCTAGGCGTATTCTGGAAAAAATAAAGACACATATCCACACAAAAACTTGCATGAGACTGTTCATAGCAGCATTATTCATAATAGCCTAAAAGTGGAAACAACTTGAATGTCCATCGAGAAATAAACAAAATATGGTATATACATATAATGGAATATTATTCAGCCATAAAATTGTATGTAGTACCGATACATGTTGCAACACAGATATAAACCTTGAAAACATGTTAAGTGAAAGAAAACAGACAACCGCATACTTTATCATTTATATGAAAGTTCAGAACAGGCAAGTCCACAGAGAAAGTAGGCCAGTGGTTGAGAGTTGGGAAATAGAGAGTGTCTGCTAATGAGTACAGGGTTTCATTGTGGAGTGGTAAAAATGTTCTGGAATTAGATAGTGATGATAGCTGTATAACTTTGCAAATATACTAAAAGCTAGTGTTTTAGTATTTTGAATTTTGAACTTTAAAATTGTGAAATCTATGGTATGTGTATTGTATCTCAATTTTTTTTAAAAAAGTCCTCAGGTGATTCTGACAACCAGTGGGTTTGGGAACTCCTGGACTTAGGACCAGCTCATGGACACGGGACTGTACAGTCACCCTGAGCCCCACACCCAGAAGGGCCCAGACTTGGTTTAACACTCTGCTTGCCAGGGAGTGGTGGCTCACGCCTGTAATTCTGGTACTTTGGGAGGCTGAGGCAGGAGGATTGCTTGAGCCCAAGAGTTTGAGGTTGCTGTGAGCAACCTCTGATGCCATGGTACTCTAGCCCAGGCAGCAGAGTGAGACTCTGTCTCAAAAAAAAGAAAGAAAGAAATAATAGCTATATATTGAGCATCTACTCTATGAAAATAGAGACTTTTTCCCCAGTAAAAGTTCACAGTAATCCTTTGAGGTAGCAATGGTTTTAACCCAAGGTCACACAGCTAGAAAATGAGAAAGGCAGGATTATAGTCTAATCCAGGTCTGACTTTGCATTATAACACCCTGTCTCTTTGTCCCTGATCTCCTGAAATACATCTGCCAGACCAAGCCTGGGTGTTCTTGTCCCTTTGAACGTTATACATTGGACTGGAAGCACCCCCTCACCCTTTCACTAGGGATCTTACAGCTGGCTCAGGTTTTCCGTCCTCACCAACCCATATTGCTCAAGTCCTTATACTGGAATATTCCTAAATTAGTAATTTCTAGGGCTTTAATCCAGTCATCAGGCTCTATTAGTCAGTGGGCTGGGAGTAAGGATGCCTTAGTTGAAATTACCACTCTCTGATTACATGAGCAAGTTACTGGATCAGAGTCTCAGTTTCCCTTTGTAAGATGGGGCTAAAATACTTTCTGTTCTCACCCGATACTTCTGCTTCTCCGTGGGTACATCCAGACAGACCATAGGCTCACTGGCAGCACCTCAAGTTGCATATCTCCCATAGGACTGTTCACTCCAGTACCCCCTGGAGCAGTTTAGTCCAGTATCCTGCTTGCTGCTCGGTCCTGTAGAGCTGTGGTCCCCAACCCCCAGGCCACGGCCTGGTACTGGTCCATGGCCTGTTAGGAAATGGGCCTTGCATCACTGCCTTAGCTCTGCACTACCCTCTTATCCCTGGGCTGTGGCAAAATTGTCTTCCATGAAACTGATTCCTAGTGCCAAAAAGGCTGGGGTCACTGCTGTACAGGTTTCATCACATGGGGAGCCTCCTTCAAGCAGATACTCCTTGTTCTTTGTGTTCTTTCTTTTTTTTTTTTTTTTTTTTTTAAGAGTTATGATGGGACCCTATAAAAACTTCTGTTTTCTACTCTCAGCTGGAAGAGGTTTTGTGGCAGATGGAGTCTATCTTTTTTTATTACTTCTTGCCACCCCCAGATTCTTATTTCCACTGCCACCCTCCAGTCCTCACATATTCCAGCCAAAAATGTCTAGGATAAAGCCTGCAGGATCAAGACCAGACCAGGAGTGAAACTGAGTCTGAATATCGACATAAGGTTGGAGGAAGCAGCAATCTCCTGATGGAGAGTTCTTTCCAGAAGGAGGCAGGAGTGTGATGCTCAAGAGGAAAATCAATTCCAAGAACATATATCAAAAAGACTTCACATCACATGTGCAGGGCTTATTTTTGTTTGTGTGTGTGTATGTGTACGTGTGCACAAACAGAACCCCACCTTCCTCTGGGGGTCAAAATAGCCTTCAGCCCTCAGAGTGAGGAAGCCGAGAGCTGCCTGAGCTGCGTTTATGAGCAGGCGGGTCCGGGTCTTCGCATTTGTGGCCCAGTCCTGGGCAGCTGTCCCTGACCAGATGTACCACACACAAAAAGAAACAGCTCTCAGCAGACAG